GATAAGCCCGCACTGCGTATGGTATAAATTGGATGCATGTAAAATAGTCTAGCTCTTATGCCTTTAGAGATCTCGGTGATCATGGCTATGTCTACTCAGCACGCCGTCCTGATCAGGAATATATATGTACTTTATGGGGTCTGCCACCTTCTACCACAAATAAGTAACAAAAATAAGTATATTTTTTATATAGTAATACTATTGATTAGATCAAGTATCAGACTTGGTTTATTGCTACAGCGCAGCTATGTTATCGTAGTCGATGAACAACAATAGAGCTTTCAGTCTAGGTTGACACATATTTGAAATTAATATATAAGTTTCCTTCCCAGCTTGAAAGCAAGAAAGGTTTGTAGGAAAATAGACATATCGTATCGATCTAAATAATAATAGAAAGTAATTGGCTCTTCTTCGATAACCAAATCAATATACTCTTTTTTGTCTGTGAATCGATAGTTATCAGCCTAATATTTTAAGCACTGCAAATATATGATGATTCGCGTTCATGATGCGAAAAGGCTATATAATTTTTGTGCAATTTCTTGAGAGCAGAAATATGGAATATATATTATAATTTATGGATATGCCCATTATAGAAAAATTTGAACAAATAACCATATCATCGGCTGATTTAAACTAAAAAAAAAACATGTTCATCCGCGCCAAAAATTATAAGAATCTTTAACTTTTACAGTCCCAAAGTGAAAGTCTCTGTTTAGCTCTGGTGCGATACTCTTTAAATGAAGCTATAAATTGTACATAGCGACAACAATAAATGTAATTGCTTTTCATTTTAAATTAATAGTTTAAATAGTTAAAAAAAAAAAAAAAAGAAAGAAAACAAACATGTTTATCGTTTTATTTAATAGCTGCAACAGAAGCATCAAACACGACATAATACAATATTGAACAAAAGACGCAATTAATAATTCTCGCACCTTTTTGTGTGTGCAAATTGTTAAACAATATGATAATTGACTAAAAAAATGATGTAAAACAAGCTAAGCAATAACACAACTAGTTTTAACAAGCGCTTTGACAGCCAGTTGGTTGCACAAATAACGATTGATTGCGAACTGCGAACTGCGAACTGCTTTCCCATGCTCCAACTTCCTTTTTTTTCCCACATAATTATAATGCGCTCAGCATAAATAAAAGGACGAGGGGAGCGTGGAGCGAAGGGGAAAAAGTGGACAAATGCTGCATTTTGCAATCGGAATTCAATTTGCATTTAAGTAGCAAACAATAAGAATAACAACAACAACACCAACTGCTAAGCGCATTTGCATGCTGACTGACTGACTGACTGACTGTGAGCAAAAAGAAGAAGAGCAAAACATATCGCACAATATAGTTATAAGCATAACTGCTGCTGCTGCTGCTGTTGCTGTAGCTGCTGTCGTTTGTCACGCCACTAGCGCCCTCTGTCGGCCAATATGTGCACTATCTGTCTGTCAGGTAGTGCAGTGCAGCTGCCAAGTGTAGCAACAAAAACTGTTGCCTACTTTTTTGGTGCAGCAGCTCAAGTGATGCGAAAGCGCGCATATGTGTGTGTGTGTGTATTTGTATGGGCATTGTTGTTGTTGCTGTTGCTGCTGCTGCTGATGACAAAATGTAATGACAAACGGAGATTTTTACTGGCTTTTTATGACTTATTCACACGCTCGCTCACGCACACACACCAACGCCCACCCAGCCCTAGCAATCACAATCCCACACACACACACACACACACACACACACACACACACACACACATACACACATGCTCGTCGTCAACTCGACTTCAAATTGTGACGGGCAAGGCCAACAGCAGCTGGCAGCTAAAGCTTAACACCCACTCACAGCATCGCTGTGCTAGTCCCAAATTGTGCCTGCCTAGCACTTGCCGGGGCTCTTCACAAGCACACGCACACACACATACACACACGCACACGCGGCCCCTCCACCTCTCTCTGTCTTTCGCCTTGGTGCTGTCGTTCTTATACTGCCATACGCTCGTCGTCTCGCTCGCACTACTGCAGGCAAAGCAAGGCAGCCAGCCTTGCCTGACTCTGCTGAAATGTTCTTCGTGTTGTTCAGCTTACAGCCAAAACGGAACACCTTTATGTGTGTGCGTGCGTGTCTCTGTCTGTGAGAGTGCGTTTGTATTAAGTGCATGTCTCACAAAAACGGCAATGTTTAATTAAAAGCGATAGCAACGCATGAAAGTCACATCAGAATCGAGTCAACATTTTGTGCAACAATCTCATTCTCTCTCTCTCTCTCTCTCTCTCTCACCCTCTCTTACGCTGCTTAAATCAAACTCAATTTAACCCAAGCCTCTCCCACATGGGCGAACGCTTGAAGGGCTTCTCAATTTCGCAGAATTGAATTCAATATGTTGTTCATTAGCCGAATTTCGGCATCTGGCAAAGGCACAATTATTATATCATGCCCAGAGGCGGTTTGACAATAACCAAATATTCCAATTAGCAAAAGCTAAAGTGCAGCACAAATTCCAATTCGATTGTAAATGCATTTTGTGTGCTCTCTGAATTGATTAAGCTCAGAATATTTATGTATATGCATTTATATGCACGTATGTATGCATGTATGCATGTGTGTGTGTGTCATCAGTGTGGGCTTTATAACAAGCAATCAACTTAAAAATCGCTTCAGCAAATATGACCACTGGCTACGATAATGCTACTGTCAAACATTTGCGTCGCATTCAATATCAAGTCAAGCAATAGACTTTTTTTTCGATTTATTGCGATTTTCGATTTAGCGGGGTATGCATTATCAAGACTCGACTGTATATTCCTTTGAAAGAAATTCGTTCTCAATAATTCTCGATAATTTGAATTTCTGTGTAAATCGAAAAAAAAAAAAAAAAAAAAAAACGGATACCCTTGTCATTTCGAATTATCGGGATTCTACTGTATATCTACTGTATACATATCAGAGTAGATACATCTAATTAGTGCAGAGAGCGGTTGCTATTATATATGTATATACCTCTGTATATAAATTTATCTAAGCTCTTCAAGCTAACTATGAACTGGAACTAGACTTTGCCCTTACGCACTGATGGATGGCCAGCTTTGAAGATAGATTTGACTTTACTGAATGAGAAATCCTGTACTACTACAGTAGAATCCGGTTAACGGCAACGAACTATTTCGGTAATTCACTATTCATTAGAGCTAATTATAGCAGTTCAATGCTTATAATATTTGTTGATTTTCCAGTCCTGAACTAAATCAGCAATTTACTATTCCCTAGTTCAGCGAACTCACTTTGTTCACCGTGACACTTATTCTAGTTAAGTTTTCTAAATAGTTCAGCTAGTTCAGGGCGAGAACTGGTACAGCTCCTTGATACACTCACTAGTATTTTGAACTAGCTGAATGCTTAATTCTTTGTTTATCAATTAAATCGGGTTTGTTCAGCTTGGACAGCTTTAGGGGCGGAAAATCTAGTTCCATTTAATAAAGAGCTCTACTTGTTTTCTAGTTTTACTTGTTTCGATTTCAATGAGCTAATGCATGTTTCTGAACTACATTTCTAATTGTAAGATGATATGAGATATAACAGATTAGTTCCATATATAGCATGAAAACTGCTAACTTTCCATATTGAGTGGGTAATTTTAATGAGTTCATTCCCAATATTTGGGCATTATGAAAAGTTATTTTTACTCAAATTATAGAAAGTTTTACTGAACAAATGTCGAACTCAATTGTTAAGCTGCATAAACGACCATGAAAAGAGCTGTTATCTTCAATTACAACAAGCATAGCACAATAAAAGTGTTTTAATAAGAGCAAACAAATAAGTTGAAGTGGAATATTTGAGAACAAAGCTGGGGCTTATAACACAAGCGGACTGATGTAAAATACAGACGGACTGCTCCGATAAACAAGAATGTCTAGTTCGTTTTGAAGTTGAGACAAAGGCAAATGTAGTCAACAGTTTTCAAGCGAGCCGAACTTGAAATACTCTTATTTACATATACTATGATGAGGGAGTTCCTATTCAATTTATATTGTTGTTATTTTTGTTAAGAAAGAGCTGATATGGCTTGAGCTACTTGTCCTTCACTCACTGGTTCAAGTTCAGCTAGTTCACTTTGAAAGCTGTGTTTACATATGTAAGCAATGTAATAAACTAGCTCAATTGTTAATTGGCGAGTCGCGAACCATATCGCACTTTCAATGTGCTCAGCTCTAAAGTTATTATATGTCGTTCAATTTGATGCGTAAGTAGGTATATTTATACATTAGATTTACTGAAGTGCTGCCAACTCCAGTTCCGTACCATTGTACTGACTCAGTCACATACATATCTAAGCCCTATCGCAATGATTTTCAAAAGTTTTGCGAACAAAACTTGACCAATATACAAGCAAAATATCTTTAATTGACGACAAATTTTATTGTCGAAGGCAATTGCAATGGGAAGGGTATTCAACGGTCTGGGCATGCAGGGACTGGCTAGTTTATGAATTGGCTATTTGGTAAACGATATGCGTGAAGTACTTGTTGGCGTTCGAGGTGCTTTTGGGGACCGTTGCTAATGCTCGTCAACTCAAAGCTCGCCCACACAAAGGACACTCGAAAGGGGATGGCCAGCCCATAAAGGGGAAGGCGATTGGGAAGGGGAAGGGCAAGGGGATGGGGATGGGGGGCAAGGGAGGACGAGGCGACACAAAAAGCAAAGCCCAACGCTGAAATCTCGCCTCTGCTTTTTTTTATGGGTAGGCGGCAGGCAGGCAGCTCCTTGGGGAACAAAATCGAAGTAGATGAGCTCCATTGTTGTTGCTGCCATTTGCCGGCCTCTCTCTCTGTATGTGTGTGTGTGTGTGTGTGTGTCTGTGTGTGCATGGGATTGATTGGGGATGGTATAGGTTGGGCTGTGCAAGTGCAGTGCTACTCTTTGTGGCCCATTGCCATCCTGGACAGAGCTTCATCAGAGAATGTAAGCCGTCACTCAGTCTATGATTGCGACTCGCTTACCTTGCCCTGCGACGAGGATATCGTTGAGGCCGACGGTGTGCCGGAGGATTGTGCGCTTAATGTGGATCGGTTGCTGTTCGCTTGCATTGCGCAGCTCCTTGGGCTCCGTTGGCACCACTGGCGCCACTGGCACCCCTAGCTGCGTTCGCTCCTTTGGCTCCCTTCGCTGTCCGGCGTAATCAGCTCGTCTCCGCTGCAATTCGCGCTGCTATTGTTGTAAACATGTTTGCAATACAATTGCTGCTCGACTAAGTCAGTGTGCAGCTCTTTTCTATTTCATATCAATTACGCTTCATCTGCTTATTATATTCCTCTTGTCCTTTATTGCGAGCTGGCTGGGAGCTTATGACCAGCTTCCACTGATTCCACTTTACTATTCTATTCTCTGTATTGGCGCGGAGCTAAGCTGAAAGTACGAAACAAACGAAAAATTGTTCAGCTATGAGGAATTTATAAATTAATGTGATGCAGTCTAGCCGGCAGTGACCAACTAGCCAATACCCTCAGTCCACAGAGTTTGCTATTTTAATAGTAAGAGCTATCCTCCAGGCATACATACATATATGTAGGGGAACACGTGCAGAGGGAATTAAGTCTCTTGGCCCCAAGATTCTTATATTATTATATATAATCTATGTTTAAAATTTGTAAACTCTAGCTTTAAGATGGTTATATCATTTTAGACCTTATTTTCGATAACCTTATAATCGATAACAAAATAATGGGCGTAGTTATCGATTTTTTGAAACAAACTCGTGCGTGATACATGGATTTCAAGTCCCTAGCTCTTATATCTTCCGAGATCGATGCGTTCATGAATACGTACGGACACACGGGCAGACAGGCCGACGGACGGACAAACAGACAGGGATCAATATATAAATAAATCTATACATACATATATATATGGGGCCTGTAACGCCTTTCTGTGCCTGTTACATACATCTAACGAAACCATTATTGCTTGAATTTATCAATGTATAGTTCGAACTAGAGGATGTTAGGGTAAATCGGACAATCGATTTTTATCGATTATTAATAAGTCCTCCTGTGCATATCAGAAGGTTAGGCTCTTTATATTATTTTATAACTGTGTTGTTAAGCTACTATAATTGCATTGTACGAATTCAACTCTTAAATAAATTTAAAAACACGATTATTAAGAAATGATATAAATTATCCAGTAATAAAGATTAACTTGTTTGTAAAGTTTTTAGAATCAATAATATCATTTTATAATACATATTTAAAACTGTAATTTTCAATGCATGAAAACATTGATATAGATGGATTAAAATAAATTTAAAAAATTTAAATGTTTTTTTGTTTTAAATACTACATATGTATATATCAGATTTGTTTTTTTTTTTTTTTTTATACCCTGAACCCATTGAAAATGGGAAATCAGGGTATAATGGTTTTGTGAAAAAGTATGTAACGGGCAGAAGGAATCATCGCATACCCGATAAAGTTTATATATTCTTGATCAGGGCGACGAGCTGAGTCGATTTAGCTCTGTCCGTCTGTCCGTCTGTCCATCCGTCCGTATGAGGGCGTCGATCTCAGAAGTTATAAGAGCTAGAGAGCTGAAATTTGGCATGCATACTCGTGTGTAGCATACGCAGTACAAGTTTATCATATTTTTTCGATAACTCATCCGATAACTGTTTTATCAAGAATAATCGAAAAATTGATTTTGTTTTTTTCCGCCTAATTTGAACACTTTGAGACCTAGAGACATCAGATTTACTGTGTATATAAAGTTGACCGATACGAAGATTTTATCATTTACAGACTTTGGATACCACGCCTTTAAAGTACTAGGGACTTGTGCTTTGGAATGTACACACATTTTTACCATATGATCATGCTCTGAATGTTTCAAAGATTATATGTCTACAAATGAAATTATTCTACAAATAAATTCTCATAATATTGCCCACACTGCAGCGCAGCCCAAGCGCAGTCGCTGCTAACTGCGCAGTCAGCAGAGCGCATGATTATACGTGCGTGTGTATGCTTATGTGCATAAAAGAAGTTCAGAATGACTAGAATATCAGCTTAGAGGGTTCAGGGTATCTCCTAGTCGACCAGTCTCGACTAGAGCTTTCTTACTTGTTTTCATGTTAGATTTTTTGTATTAAATATTACAATTTTATTTATCTATCAGACGACGTTGCTAATTTTAATTTCAATTTATTTCACTCTTTGATATAAATGCAGATTTTTTAAAAATAATTTAAGAGTTTAGGTTAAGAAATAGGCCTTTTCTGCTTAGATATTTATTTACATACATGACATATGGTATATGCAATAGCATAATTATTTTGGGGGAAAAACAAAGAAATAGTAAACACTAAATACTAAAAACTACAAGTCTATGTCAGGTCGTTTATATGCGAATATGTTGATTCCTGACACTTGGTTATGAATTTTTGCGATAGTTGCGATAGTCTAATATCTACTAATTCAGTATTGGCTCGACAATGTAGATCAATCATGGAATGATGCCATAGAAGATTAAAGATAAAATTCAGGACTTTATTTTGTGTGATTTGCAACTGGTTTATATGACATTTGGTTATGTCTAAACAGACTGGTAGAAAGTTACTGCTTGGAATATTGACCTAAATAAAAACATTTTGTTTGCTATATTTAGTCTGGAGTTTCTATTTATAAACGGATATAGCGTACGGACTATATTTTTGAGTTTTTTGATTGTATTGTTGTATGTATATGGTCCTTAAAAGTAAGTCTTTTGTACAGTGTAATACCCAGGTACCTGACATTAGTTCCCACTTTATATATTAAAATTTTATTTATCTATCAGTCGACGTTGTTAATAAATTCAATGTAAATAAATAAATTAAATTCTAATATTTCAAGCCAAATATTTGAAAATATACTTCATATTTTTTAATTATAGTTCAATTGTTTAATGAATACACAGGAAATCAGTTTAGAATAGCATAACAAAACAATAAAGCCTTTCAATCGGGTATAACAGATTGTCTCACTCGTTCAACACTCGAGAATTTGCTAAATTATTTTTAAACATCTGTATTTGCAGAATTAAATATCTCCAAAATATGTGTATAGAAAAATACAAAATTTGAGTAACTTTTGTTTTGAATAAATAATATAAACATTAATCTATCAAAATTTGAATACATCTCTGAATACGGACAATCCGTTTTAAAGCTTACTTTGTTTTAAATTACTCAGAGCGAGTCACAGTCAGGCAAAAGGATAATCATCAAGGAATTAATTAATACAAAACTAAACAAAACACAACAAGGCAAGTCAGGACTAGATGACTAAAAGACCATGTCAAATTTGACATGCAGTTCAATGCGGGATGGTCTCTGCCAACAAAGAGTTGACATATTATATAGGGATGTGACGGAAATTGAACACTTTGGAGAACAATGCGCTTCATGCAGTGCAGAGGACAGAGAGAGATAGAGAGAGAGAGAGAAAGAGAGAGAGAGAGAGAGAGAGCTCTTAGCCAACATACGATTGAACGCTTAGACTTTATTTCGGCTTTAGTTGCTGACAATCGAATGATAAAATCGAAATTTAAGGCTGTCGACTATCTGCTAAATAAGTGTGACCCATAATTGTCTCGATTGTCTAGAGTTCCGCTTGGCCGGGTCTCGAGTGCCTGTCAGCCTGTCAGCCTGCAGGGTATGCAACACTTTTTTCGGCAATCTAAAGGAAACGAAAAACGTTCGTGAAATGTGCAAAGGAAGCAATAAAAAGAGCACACACACACAACACGCATATATATATATTTATATATACACAGACAGAGAAAAGGGCTAGCGCTACGAATAGCGACCACATCCTTCGAGCACAAATCAAAAGAAAATGTCACAATCGCCGTCGCTGCAAACGCCGCCGAGCGCAGCTACTGCGCAGCAACTGCGGGCCAAGCAGGCCAAGCAACAGCAGACTCTCAGCGGACAAAGCGTAATGCCTAGAAATAGGGCTAGGTCATTTATGGAGCCCAAAACTTTGTGTGTGTGTCTGTGTGTGCGTGTAGTAGCTGCTAACAAGAACATGCCCACCAGCATATATATATATATATATATATATATATATATATATATATATATATATATATATGTATATATATATATATATATCTACACTCACATACTTACGCATGCAAAGAGACAAGCAGCACTGCTCTGTTAAAGGATGCTGCTGCAGCGACGAAAGCATCGCATTTTGCTTGCCTTCTACTACAGCGGCTGTCTGCTGGCACGCCCAGCTAAGCAGGGCTAAGCAGCCGCTGCTGGCGTCGCTGCTTGCTGCTTGCTGCTTGCTGCCCGCGTCACCATCACAGTCGCAGCAGCACCGAATTTTATGCCAAGGGCAGCAGCAACCCAAAGCACGTTTTGCGGCGCAGACATAACCTCAACTTCTTGCGCGCTGCTTACCACGCTGCCAGCGTCAACAGCGCTGCTTCTACCATTAGGGTAGCCATTTTATAGGCCAGGCAACAGCTATTTGTGTGGATTTATGTGCACACATAAACACATACACATTCATGTTTATATGTATGTGTACGTACGCGTTTAATGTATTGGTACATTAATTTGGTAAATTTTGACATCTCCCAAAAAAGTAAAAACAAATTCATAAATTAATAAAAGTGTTCTTCAACTTAAATAACATATATAATATAGATATACACAATATATTAAATAATTTTACTTAATTGGGTTACCCTAAAATTGGATGCTGCGCTCGTTTTGTAGTTTTGTTTTTGAAAATTTAACGTTACGTTTCGTTCCGTAAGCTTTGTGCGTTTCGTTTTGATGCTTGGCTTCGTCGTCTTCCTCATCCATCGACTTAGACTAAGTATTTTGGGTGGCTGACTGAAGATTGAGCTTATCGGGCTAATCGTGAACTCTTTCGAGTTGTGCGTTTTCGTTTTATTATTATTATTTGATTGCAATTTGTTTTATTTGTTGCGATTTTCTAGCTATTTTAACATGACGCTTTTATGGACATGGCTTGTTGTTTGGCATACGAGCAGAGTGCAAAAAAAAATATATACATATATCACGCTTTCGTATACGCGTACACACACACTCAGTCAAGCAGACACACACACTTAAAAACACGCACGCACGCAGCGAGAAAAAAATCTAGTGGCGGCGGCTGCGATGGCAACGCGTTTAGCACAAAAAAAATATATAAAAGCGTTGCAAATGTAGCAAGACTTTGTGCGGACTATTTTTTTTATTCTTTTTCTTTCTGAATGAGCGAATTAAGTTTGTCGTATGCGTTATAAAAACAAACTTCGCAGAAGTTATTAAAAAAAAAAAAAACAAAACCAAAAAAAAAAAAACAAAAAATTAAAGCGGCTGACAATTATTTGAATAGCAGAACCAACTCAGACAAGATGTTCCGCTTCCGTTTCTGTTACTGATTGGGATTCTTGCCGTGCAATTTTGCTGCGCACGCCCGCTTTAACCGCGTCCGTCGCACTAAAGTGTGCTACAATTTATGTTGAAATCTTGCGCGTAACTGAACTGAGCGTTGCGAATCGTTTGTACAGCAGCCGCCGTTGCCGTGGCCCGTGCACTGGCGCTGGCTTCGTTTCTGATTCTGGTTTACGGACTTTGGCTCAGCTGTCAATGCCGCAGCAGTGGCACCAACAGCACTAGTAGTAGCAACAGCAGCCGAGGATGCTAATGCTAATGCCGACGCTGGACCAGCCGAGCCAGTGACAAAGTCAACTACAGCAACGGGTCAAGAGAGAGACCAAGAAAGAGAGAGAGAGGGAGAGAGAGAGAGAGACATAAACGAAAATAGCATGAGCGCGCGTGCGGTATTGCCGGGATACACAGCACAGCCAGCAGCTGCTTGACTACACCTGGATAAGTAGCATCGCTTTGGCCAATGAATAACATATTTTATATTCCTTTAGCTATTAATTTTAAATAGATTCCGTATTGCCGCATTCTCGTTTAACGCGACTGTTGAGCAGTTTTGAGTTGCCAGCATATTTGAGGAATGGAGAGTTGCCAGACAGAATAAGTTGCGACGTTCCATTGAAATAAGTTAGAAACTGAAACTGCCCATTATGTATTTTGTATTGTGTAGCGGTTCAAGATGTTTTTTATATGTTTACTTTTCTTTGCCTTTTTTTTTAATATTTAACGAGTGTATATTAGATTATATAACTACTGTCAAATATTCAGACTGTCAATCATACTGCTTAACAGTTTGTATAACATGTGTATTATGTAGACCTTTAACAATTACAATTTCTATGTAAATATTATCCATGCAAAAATCACATAGCACATACATATGTATGTTTTTCAGTGGTACAATGAATGTCCGGTACCACTTTTTTTAACAAGTCTACCGTTAACTGTAAACGAAAAATCGAGACATAGAGACGCACAAATGACCGATACATTCTGTTAATGCGACTCAGAGCTATTTTACACACTGTATCAGTGCCAACATATCGACCGACCGCCATTATTGCTAGTTGTGTGTCGGCCGTCTATCGCCCGTCGAAATATTTCTATCTGCAAGTTTTTCTCCACATAAGATTTTATTATGTTTAAGAAACATTCACGAAAGCAGAAATCAATACACTGCTAAACTCAAAAGTTAGGCAAACGAAATCGAGGCAAGCATATTGCAGCACCAAAACGACGTTACGTTAACGAAACAGCCAACCAGCACCAAACAGCAGACATAAAGATTTGCATACACTCACGCACGTAAACGATAAAAACGAAAAACAAGAAAAAAACAAAAACGTCAACTATTTGTAGGATATACGTAGAGGACCAATTCAAAGTTGATCAAACATATTAAAGGCGTCGTTGAGCTGATGTTAGCTTTAAAAAATAAAGGCTGAAGATAGCGAGCTGTGCTATTGCCTCTACCAGTGGAATAGTGTATTTGTGTACGTGCGTGCGCGTACATGTGTTTGTGTATGTGTGCGTGTGTTGTCTCTGATTGTTTTCTATTGTGTGCGCAGTGCGTGCGTTCGTTTGGCTGAGGGGGCGGGCGGGACAAGTGCAAGTGCCAGCAGCAGCAGCAGCTAAAGGAGTGAAATCTGTGCAGCCAAATCGGCCAAACAGAACTGTGTAAGTAGCAACAAATCGCGCGCACGCTGCCAAGTGGGTGTGGTAGCGGCTGTTGTAGAGGGGGGCTTGCTTGGTGTAGAGAGGGGATATGCAGCGCGTTGTTAACTGCCTTCGTATTATTATTTTTGTGTTTGTTTTTGGTTTTGGCTGTTGTTTTAGTTTTTGCTTTTTCCATTTGCTTATCAAGATTTTGCGTCATTGCAGTTGAACGGGCTCGAGTTTCTTTAAAGAAGCGCGCGTCCATGTTTGAGCTTTTAATGCTAGCTGAGAACAGACGACGGCAACTCGTTTAACAACTGCGCAACAAGGAGCAGCAGCACTGGCCATGCTCCCCATCAGTGAGGAGCAGCACGTGGACAACAGCAGCAGCAATCAGCAACCTGCGAATGTCTCAGATGAAGCCGCTGCTGCCGCTGCCGCTGCGGCCGCGAATGGCCTGGCCGATGATAAGGCAGCTCTGGCCGCTGATGGCGGCCTGTGGACGGCACTATATGACTACGATGCACAGGGCGAGGATGAGCTGACACTGCGACGGGGACAGATCGTTGTTGTGCTGTCCACGGACAGCGAGGTCTCCGGCGACGTAGGCTGGTGGACGGGCAAGATCGGTGATAAGGTAAATATGCAAAATTAATGGTTAAACGAAATTAGTTACTCATCAGGGCTTATTCATTCGCCAGGTTGGGGTTTTTCCACGCAACTTTGTGACTGACGCGGATCCATTAGAATTGCCGCACGAAATCGACGAGTCGGAGTTGGACATCAAAGAGGTGATTGGCTCCGGCGGCTTTTGTAAAGTTCATCGCGGCTATTACGACAACGAGGAGGTTGCCATAAAAATAGCCCATCAAACTGGCGATGATGATATGCAGCGGATGCGTGACAATGTCCTGCAGGAGGCCAAGCTCTTCTGGCCGCTAAAGCATCGCAACATCGCGGCGCTGCGTGGGGTTTGCTTGAAGACGAAGCTATGCCTGGTCATGGAATATGCGCGGGGCGGCAGCCTCAATCGCATACTCGCTGGCAAAATACCGCCCGATGTTCTCGTCGATTGGGCGATACAAATCGCCTGCGGCATGAACTATTTGCACAGCGAGGCGCCCATGTCGATAATACATCGCGACCTTAAGTCCTCCAATGTGCTCATCTATGAGGCCATCGAGGGCAGTGATCTGCATAATAAAACGCTCAAAATAACCGACTTTGGCCTCGCACGCGAAATGTATAACACGCAGTGCATGAGCGCCGCTGGCACCTACGCCTGGATGCCGCCCGAGGTCATCAGCCGGAGCATGTACTCCAAGTATGTGGACGCCATGTGGAATGTGGACAATATTCAAATGCAATTTATCAATTACGTATTCCATTGCAGATCGTCGGATGTGTGGAGTTATGGTGTGCTCCTCTGGGAGCTGATCACGGGCGAAACGCCCTACAAAGGTTTCGATCCGCTTTCCGTTGCCTATGGCGTCGCCGTCAATACGCTAACGTTGCCGATACCAAAAACTTGCCCCGAAACGTGGGGCGCTCTTATGAAGAGTGAGTGCAATGCGAATTATCAACAGAAGATCGATGCTAATACTTAATGCTTTGCAGGCTGCTGGGAAAGCGATCCGCACAGACGGCCAGATTTCAAGAAGATCATCGAGCAGCTGGAGAGTAGCGCGTGCTCGAAATTTACGTTAACGCCACAGGAATCCTTTCACCACCTGCAGGAGCTGTGGAAGAAGGAGATCGCCGAAGTGCTGCACGATCTGCGCGAAAAAGAAAAGGTATCCAGTGAATACTCAATATGCAGCGATATCGTTGTATATTCTCTATTTGGGGTCCCGTATAGGATTCTTTCTCTCTATCTATCTTTAGTTCTGTATCTCGACATAAACATTTATCTTTCTTAAGCTCTCAAACGAAATTGTCTAATCATTTGATTTAACCGCCTTTTTTCTATCAAATTTTTCCGTCAATATTTGTTACCCAACTCCAAACCATGTTAAGCGTTTCCAAACTATCGAAGAGGTAAGCGCGCCTTGTTCCAAAAAAGGGCAAAACATTTTTGCTGCTCGATTTTGTTTCCGTTTTATTTCGAATTCGCTTCGTTTCTGTTGATGTTATTCGATTTGTTTTGGTCATTACTATTCGAGTCTTGTGTGCTTTAAGTTTGTCCCCCACCCGCCACGCACCCCCTATCACATGTAATTGCATGGATTTGCCAGAAATTTGCGAGTTTTGAGTCCGAGCGCCCCTGCACTGTAATCCCCATTCCCATTTTCGAGTTAATCCAAATGTGCTCGATCCCATCCCCTAGGAACTGCGCAACAAGGAGGAGCAGCTAAAGCTGATGCAAAAGAAGCAACTGGAGAAGGCCAATAAGCTGCAAGAGCTGGAGAAGCAGCTTCGCCTACGCGAAATGAATATACTAGGACGCGAGCTAATGATGCAACCAGTGACTGTCCCCGTACCGGTGCCATCGAAACGGAAGCCCAAAAAGAGTAAAAAGGTAAAATTCAATTGAGTCCCTTCACCCCATTTCACTTTATTCATATATTTACTGGGTTATTCTTTGCAGAAACCGCTGCAGATATCACTGCCCACGGAATTCCGGCACACAATTACGGCCGTTTGCGACAAGGTGGAGCCACCCGGATCGCCCTCCCTCTCCAGACTGCGCATTGTTACACGTAAGTAAGACAGAAGTTCGAGTAAAGCTGTTTGAGATAGAACCCCAAAGACTATTCCAATTTCATCTATTTAATCAATTCGAATTTGAGTGAAAATCAAGTGTAATACAAAATGGATAGGAACATTAATATTACAAGAGATCAGATCACTATGAATGGAAATTAATTTCAATTCAACAAACTGAAATACAAAATGAAATACATAGAGAAAGGAAATGATTTATTGACAAATATGAACTGTTATTACTGTTTTCTTTTCTTAACATTCCAATACAAAATTTACTGTTTATAAACTGTTTTATGGACTGTGGCACATGTAATTTTCAGTTTTTCTCTTTGGAACTATTTGAATGCATGAAACAAAATTTGTACTTTACTCAAGTTTAATTTTATTTTGTTTATTCTATTATTAATCATGATTTGTATTAATTATTGATTTGTAAATATTGGTTTATTTATCGTTTATTTTCTTCTCTTTTCTCTTTTTTATTTTTTATGTTTGGTTTGTTTTCGCTTTGTTTTGTTGGGCTCGTGGCTCGTGGCTCGTGGCTCGCAGTGACCGATGGGCACAAGAACAAGACCTGGGGTCCATCGACAATGCACCAGCGCGAACGTTCGCTGCTGCCGACGCAGCAGAGCGGCCAGCCGGAATGGCCGGCACAGAGCTCGACGCACTCATCGTTCAGCAAGAGTGCGCCCAATCTGGACAAGAAGCTGCTGAACGCTGCGGCGGCGGCGGCGGCAGCAGCTGCTGCTGCGACGGCTGGCACTGGGGGCGCCACACCGACGCCTGCAACGGCAGCTATGGCGACCCAGTTGCTGGGCAGCTCCAATGTGGGCAGCATTGCCGGCAGCTCGACGCCCACGTCGCCCATGTACTTGGGCGGCAGTGTGGCGGCGATTGGTGCGGTTGGCGCTGGTGTGGCTACAGGTATGCCATATTTAATACTGCATACCAATACCAATACCAACAACAACAACAGCAACAACAACAACAGTAATCATATATATAACAACAACCACAAAACTAATACAAACAGCATCATGTCATCCAATGCCTCGCCTCGATTAAACGGCAATCACAACAACAACAACAACAACAGCAGCAGCAGCAACCACAACAACAACAACAGTAATAAGAATATGGCGAATCGCTCGCCTGCCACCAACATTTTTGGTCGCGCCCGCAGCCAGGATTATGGCCTGGATCTGCCGCACATTGGCTACAACAATGTGATCCACCTGCTGCCCGACGATAGCTCCGAAACGGACACCCTGACGCCCACAACGGGCTGCTTCCACTTCCTCAAGTCGAGCGCCTCCACTGTGGCAATGGCGCCCGTTGTGTGCGGCTCGCCGTATGGCGGCAGCCTCGGCAACAGTCCGGCTGTGGGCCGCAAGAAGCTATCGCTAGACAACCAGTTCGTGCAGCCCGGCGGCATTCAACTGCCGCAGGCTATGTCGGCTATGTCGCCGCTGGTGGCGCCGCCGACGCTGGAGCGGGGCGACAATAATACGTACGATCGCGCCTTCTATCGGGGCTTGGAGAAGAAGATATTGGCCAGCAGCGATCGCGTGAACTCCAAGTCGAGCGGCGACCTCACCATGTACAACTCCGCCACGCGGCTCACCGAGGCGCGAACCGAAATAGCAGAGGATGCGCTGGAGAGTCGCTTTCAGCGGAATGCGTCCGGCTCCCAGTTTCCGCGGCACTGCTTCTTTCGGCAGCAGCCGAACAGCAATGAGTGCGACAACGACATCGATGACGATGACGACGACAACGATGAGGAGGTGCAGCACCAGCAACACGACTGGGACCAGGACCAGTATGATCGGGATGCGGAAGATGAGCAGCGCAATATACACTCACATTGCTCCTCGGAGCACTCGTCCTCAACCGTCGACACCTCAGCCAGCCAGACGCGTACCAACTGCCCCACGTCGCGCAAGAGCTCGGTGACGTTTCAGATGAACTCCCCCTCAATGGAGACGGCGCCCGCAGCCACAGGGACTGCCATAGCAGTGAGCGATGCTCAGACGTCCATCGCATCGATCAGTTTCGGCACCAGCTATAGCTCCTGCGATAACGATAACGATAACGATGAGGCCGACGACTGGAACGATCTGCTGCACCGCGCCGACAACGACACCAGCGATATGGCACTGAACGGGGCCCGAGTCCACGAGAGCTGCATACTGCAGGCGCGCCGCATGACGGACATTCAGCTCCACCCGGACGTGGTCAAGATGAAGGAGTGCCTGCTGGCCGAGCAACAGCGGCAGGACACCAAGCATACAAAGAAACAGAAACAGAAGCTGCGCTGCATCACCAAATCAAAGTCGGTCGAAGCGCCTGACAGCGCCGCCGCTAATAGCCAGCAGCAGCAGGCGCAACAAGAACAACAACAACAGCAACAGCACTCGTCAAGCGGCAAAATCAAGTCATTAATCAACCTGCTCACGCGCGGCTCCAAGAAAAAGTACACCAAACTGTCCGATCAGCAACTGGCCCCAGCTGGCAGCCGAAGCGGGAGCATTGCCGAGTTCCGAGCCATCGATCCATTTGAGACGGAACTGCCCCTGGCGTCTGGCAAGTCCACGACGGGCCGTTCGGCGAAACGCAAAAGCAAAAAGCCTCAAACGCAATCCTGCGAGCAGCTGGAACGTGTCTGACTGTCTCCGCCTGCCTCCCACTGTGTGTGTGCGTGTGTATGCGTGTGTGTGCATAGGCCGTATCCAACTGTGCTATTTGTTGTGTTAGTTGTTGTGGTCCAAGCCGTGCATCGTCGCAGTCCTGCATCGAGCAATCAAATACCTGCCTATATATACATGTATCCAGTTACATATAGATGTATATGTATGCAATCAACTATGAGCCCTTGTTTTATATTAAAACCATAGACTAAGTCTAAGTAACCTACACACACACACACCTATACACACACCCACACACTAGCTCCTTACTGCTTGTATACATCTAACCATAACAATAACAAGGAAATTACCGTTTGTTCATTTGTTTTTTTTTTTTTTTTACCAACGCTCCACTTATGTGTAAGCAGAGCTCGCTAAAGTCTAGACAAAAAAAAAAAAAAAAAAAAACAAATAATGTTTCAACTGCGAATGAATGCACGATGAGTGTATTGTGTGGCTCAAGAGAATTCGACTCGAATAATAAACAACAAAAAAACAGAGTAGTGTTGAAAAACGAAAAGATAATGACTCCACTTCAGTAGAGGGCGTGGGAGACGAATAAGAAAGAGTAGGTTAATAGAATGAGGGCGAAATAAATTACATATAGATAATCAGAAATGTGGCAAAAAAATAGCACGAAAAGAATTGAGGAAATGTTAGAATAAGAGAGGAGTGAGGGAAAGTTTGCAATTTGAAATTGAAAGATTCATCTTAAAGAAAAATCTATGGCAATCCATTGATATACATATATGTGTACCATATAGTGAGAGATTTAGTGAAAGCCCTAACAAATATGTCAGAGCTACTATAGCTGAATATACTCTAGAGGGAAATACCTAGAAACAAGCGAAACGGCATTTTCAATGGGCCGCAGCCCGAACAGAACGTGTAACTGTGGAATTGAATTTCATTAGATAAACTAAAAGTATATATAAAGCTGAAACTCAGGTATAAAGCGCGAAGATTATCACAAAGTTATCAGAGCAAAATTTTGCTATTTGTATAGGTAAAGCGACCAGTGAAAGAAACTTAAGCAAATGAAAGCGGACTAGATAAAAACAAGTCATACGATATGGACATATATATGGTTTCATAGGAGATACATATAGACATATATATATATATATATATCTTTTATCTGTTCTTTGCTGACACAATGTGGAGCGTGGATAAATCGCAGAATTGTTCGCCACAACAAAAAATATTTATAAGAAGCGATCGACATATCTAATATTTCATATACATACATATAAACAATATACATGCATATATATACATATATATATGAGAAACGCATATTTACAAGAACAACAAAAGAGGAAAAAAAACTAGTTGAGCCTAGCTTAGTCGTACTTCATATTTTGTTCGTTTGTTTAATTCCTTCTGATTGCAGTAGCCAGATTGAAGATTCTCTCTGCTTCTTCTGCCTCTGCTCTCTGATCAATACTGAAATTGTTGTAATCTTTCGATATTCTTCCTTTGGTATTCTTGTGCAGTTTTATTTACATAGATTTTAATTGAATTACAATTGGCTTTTATTTATTTGTAGTATTTGATTTACAAAAATATAAATATATACAAAAAAGAAAACCGAAAAAAAAACTGTGATGAAAAATGATTAGAAACCAAACATCGAGAAAAAAAAAATAAGAAAAAAAAAAAATAATAAGAAAGAAAAAAGAAATTAGTTTTATGTATTATTGTATGCAAGCTTTTATTTTTCAAAAATACCCTGTAAGCATTGACAATGGCAACATTGCAGAAACTGTATTCCTGCCCATGTAAAGCGCTTCCGTCAGCATATATATAATATAATATATAATCCATCTATATGTATGTCTGTCTGCTAAGAATGTCTCGATCTCAGATTTTGCACTTTTGATAACTCCCGACTTGCACCTTCAGTTGCTTGCACTATGTGTACAGGGTACCGGCTAGTCGAGCAACGGCGACTAGAGCACTCTTGTTGTTCTATTCCTTTTAGTTTATTTGTTTGTTTTCCTTACGTTTTGCCTTGAATGTAATCTGTATATCTACATATGTATTTTTTAATTTGAAAAGTCCAAACAACAAAGAGAAAGCGAGATAAAAAAGAAATGAAGAACAACTGCAACTACAACAACAACAACAACAAGAACAAGCATACACATTAACGAAAACGGACAATAAATCATTAAAAATAATAAGAGAATCATTAATTTAGCACGAGCTTCTAGGGATCTCTCAATGGTATAGGTTGGTTCTTGCCTGTGGTGAACCCTGCTCCCGTCCTTGGGCTCCAGCCCCTAGCCCCTAGCTCCATAGCCCCCAGCAATTTACTTGACCCACTCTCGAGCTACTTACCAACACCCACAACCGAAGTAACAGTAACCGTTTAGCCACACGTTTCTCAACACTGTTTCGTCAACTGTTCACGCTGCCGCATTGCGGGCCCGCACCCACAGGCTACCAGGGCAACAGCAAGGAGGACTGGCGCTCGGGACCAGCGGACATGCCCATCATGTCGCCATCTCCGTATCTGCTCAGCCGCTTCACCAACAACGTGCCGCTGCCGACGCTCTACGCCGGCGACGCGGCCCGCAAGCCGAAGCTCTCCGTGATCGAGCTGCTGCTCTACAACATGGCATCGCTGCTGGCGGGCGTCGCTGCCGGCTACGATGTGCGCATGTCCAATGTGTCGCCGGTGCACCCGACGCTGCTCAGCGAGCTGCCCGCCTTGAAGGCGGCGCCGAGGGCGACAAACGCGGACGACCAGGAGCAGCTGCCGGATCAGGTCGATCAAGGCGAGCATCAACTGGAGGCAATGCGTCACTTGGGCGCCAATCGGAACTCTATGAGGTAAGTGCTTGTCAAACATTATACATAGTAAGGCGTTAAATATTTGACAATGGGATAATCTGGTCAGTCAACAATTGTCAAACTGCGCTTAACCTGTTGTTAAGTTTGACCTAATGCTTAATAGTTGGAAGTAGATCTCCTGTCGAACCCATCCAATTCTAAGTTTTAGTAATTACAGTTACCTTATTTTATGATAGGTATTTAACAATTAGTTTGACCATAAGCTTTAACATCCTGTTAAAGCCTATTGACCTATTGCTAATGCCTTTGTCAATTGGTAGTTTTTTCATGTTTGACAATGTTGCTAAAGTGCCTGTCAAAAATGAACTTGAGCACTTTACTTATTGGACACAATGAAGATGAAATATGTATTTAAGATTTAGTTAAAGCGACAATCAATCGTGTTATTTTCGCTCAGCTAAAATGTTAAATATTTAGCAATAAATAATAGTGACTGTCAACTTTAACTTCGTGTTAAAGTAGCAATGTGATGTTATTTTCGCCTAATGAGATTTTCAAATCTTTAACAATTAGTTAAAATGATAATCAATTCATATCATGATTATGCCGCCTAAGTAAATACTAAACATTTAGCATTAAATTAAAGTTCGAATCAGCTTTCAAATATGCTTAATAATTACAGATTTGTGTAACTAATTCATAATATAGTAATTTGATTCTAAAAATAATGTTAAACAGCTGATAGTTGCCGCTAAAGTGCCTGTCAAACTGCTGACCAAGTTTCATCCTGTTGATCTCAAGTCAAGCCAAGTTTAACATGATGTTTACATTCTGTGAACTTACTGGTAGTTAGTTGCACTTAAGTGGTTGTTAAGTATTTGACATTGGACTATGAGCTTATTCTGAAAATTGTCCATTTCCCTCACCCATGCAGCTACTCAGCCCTGGATGGACTTACGGGCGCATCGATGGCCACGCCCAAGCCTCAGTCAGTGGCACAGCGACGCGTGGGCGGGAGCCAGACGTATTACACGCCCGTGCAGCGCACGCCCCAGCATCAGCTGCATCAGGCAGCGGCTGTGCCGTCAACAACTGTGCCACAGCCTCAGCCTGCGCCTCAGCCGCAGCCGCAGCCGCCGAATCAGGCCGTGGCGCTACTCTATGCCGGCTCCCAGCCGCCGACGCCGTCGCCGCGCCGCAAGCTGAGCAGCAGCAGCTGCAACAACGCCGACGGCTTCGAGGAGTTCCGCGTGGGCGGCGGCATTGGACCGCCGCCGCTGTATGCGCCCGCCGACTACCTGCGCAACGGGCCGAGCTACTCCAACGATGGCGGCGCCTATCGCAACGGCTATTTTGGTAAGTGTCCACCTCCAGTTGGCAGCTAAATATCACAGATTACTCGACTGATCCATCTGCATGTTGCAGGCTCCAACTATTTTCCGTATCGGCCAGAGCTGAATTTTGCATATGAGCGAGACTGCAAGTCGTATCCGGACTACTCCTACGACTACAACCATCGTCTGCCCGACTACTACGACTACCAGTATGAGCCGCCCGTGCAAGCGGTGCAGGCGGTGCAGGTGGCTGCGGTGGCAGCGCTGCCGCCGCTGCAAACGCGTACGCCGCCCCCGCGCGTTCCACAGATGGGCGTCAGTGCGGGCGGCCATCGGCGCACACCCTCGACGGTGTCGAGCAACTCGAACGTGCTGCTGGAGCACGAGGAGCTGCTCTACGACTACAACAATCTCAATCTGAACGTGAACCTCAACGTGGACTACGATTGCGAACCGGCGCCAACACTAACGACGACGTCGCAGCAGCAGCAGCAGCAGCAGCAGCCGCCGCCGTCAGCTGGCCAGCAAGAGTTCTATGCCGGTTCGCCCAAGCTTCTCAATCGGATGCTGCACAGTCCGTTGGCCGGTAGCAAGTATGCGCCTGTCGCACGTCCTGCCAGCCTGCCCTTCGAGCAGCACACGCTCAGCTACCAACTACAGCAGCAACAGCAGCAACAGCAGCAGCTGCAGCAGCAGCAGCAGCTGGCACTGCAGCAGGCGGGGATTAGCCAGGGCAAGCTGCGCAGCTCGCTGAAGAAGTACAACAGCAACACGCTGAATGGCAGCATCTCGTCGCAGCAGGGCACGCCCACGAATCCAACGCCGCCCGACTCGCTGACCAGCGACGACAGCTCCTACTTGAGCGCCAAGGAGGGCTCCATTGGATCGCAGCACAGTCGGGTGCGCTTCAGTCCGGAGGCCTATCTGGATGCCAGCAACTTGCCCGTGGGTGTCTTAGGCAGACGCATGACATCGCCGGGACTCCAGCTGCCCCCGCAGCAGCACCAGCAGCAACCGCAGCAGCAGCAACGTAGGCATCGACATACCTCCAGCGCCAGCACCCCATCGCCGTCGGCCTCATCGTCCTCCTAGCAGGCGCGCCTGGCGCTGACTTTGCAGTTAGCGCGCAGTCCCGGCGCGGACATTGGCAGCGCCGGAGGCGCCTCTGGCTTGGCCCTGGGCCTGGCCTTGCACCAGCAGCGGGTGCCGTATCGCTGGTATTCCGGTGCGCGGCGTTCTCGCTCCGCTCACTACGAATATCGACTCTGAGAGCCGGCAAGAGACAGAGATAGCAATAGCGAATGCGAGTACGCGTGCGAGTGCGAGTGCGAGTGGGATGGCAAACAGTTTATAAATACATTGATACCTCAAGCATGCGTACATTAGAGCGAGAGCGCAAGCCCACACACACACAGACAGAGACAGAGACAGAGACAGAGACAGAGATAGAGACAGACACACAGACTACAGCCTGGTGGTAGCAGATCCATGTTATAGTACCCAGATCTGTTACTGTTTATAGCCCCTATATAGTAGTCAACATACATATATAACCTCTTGACTTGAGCGATTTGCCTTAAATATATATAGCATGAATATAGAGATTCGAATTCCGAGGAAGCTGCTTCAGACCACAAGCTCATGTTAAGTTGATGCTTATAAATACCTTGATATACATACATACATATATACAAATATATCATAGTTGATATATATGTGTGTAGATATATATGCAAGCATATAGTGGACTGTCTTTAATTGCGTTCTTTGATTAGATGCCACGCCTTATGCCACGCCCCCAAAAACAATAAGAGCTAACAAGTATAACACTAATTGCAATTCGAAACTAACTAAACTAAATACACCAATAACAACTCCATTTTTAAGTCTGAAGAAAACGTTTATACATACATACATCTAAATATAAATATATGATATATATACACACATATACATACATACATATATATACATAAAACTTGATATGTAACCCGATATAAAGACGTTGCTAAATCATTAGCTTTAGTTCCAAGATACAATTTGATCGATTTATAAACTCAAATTATATATATATATATATACATACAAATATATATATATATAGACGTAAATATATATACATATAATATAAGACTTAATATACATTAACAAATTGTGCATACATATAAACTATATATATGTATGTGTAAAGCAACAAATTGTACGTTTTGAAGCCAACAGCAAGTAATACGCCTGAATATATCAACAGATTTTGAAACACTATATACATATGTATATACATATATGAGCATTCAAATGTACTTCAATGTGGAACGCTTATTAAAATCGATCGATGCGAGAATAGCGACATCTACCGGCAGCCGCGGCTATGTAGAAAGCTGAACTCAGCTCTCTCTCACTCCCACCATCTCCTTCTCGCTCGACCGCTCACACAGCTCACGTTTGCGTAGTGCGTGCGTGCGGCGCTAGATGGCGCTATCTTGCATATCGAAAATTATGAACCTAATTTAAATGCTTGTTCGAATTGTGTTTGTTAAATGAATTGTTTGCAATAGCCTCTGTAGACTGCGATTACCGTTTTATACCTTAATGACATTTAATACTATTATTTAGACAAATTGTTGTTCATGCTCACAAGAAACTACAAAAAGAACAAGGAAACCAAGCAATATTTAACAAAAAATAAAAACAAAAATTTGGAATTCAATCAATTTTATATAAGAGAATATTATAACTAATTAAATTTGCCTGAGAATTAATACAACACTAAATACGCAAATCAAATCAAATCAAATCAAATGAAATCAAATCAGAGAAACCCAGTTAACCAATATCACTATCACTATCACTATCATTATCATTATCATTATCATTACTATGAAAAGTCTTAGCGTAATTGCCTTCTGTTGCACGATTCATTGATTGTTGCTAGTTTTGCGGCTACCGCAGCCCTTAAATATGCAATAATAAATGCAGCTTGTGACTTATTTTTATGTACAAATTAGCTATTAATAATTAACAATTCATTTCATCATTATCAGAGACCAAAA